TCATAGCGATCGTCATGATGCTACTGTGAAGCAGCCGTCAAGTATATCGATCTGAGCAGCGACAGGGCGAACTTCTCACCTTGGAATTCCTCCAAGAGGCGATGAGACCGAGTTTCGTAAAGATTGTCTCGCAACATTCGCAACCTCGAAATGGACTCGGCGAACCCTGCTTATTCTGTCGGTATCTTACTTATCCAAACCATCGAGCTTCTGGTCGTACCACAGCAGCCGCAAGTCATATTTTCCCGCTTCCTCTTCGCCCGACTCACGGTATGGATCCTCCTGATGGTATTGTATGTGCTCTACTCGCTGAGGACTATCTTGTCTGCGCCAGCTCTGAGACTACTCACAGTCGGAGTGTACGCCATTGGGATTTTGGTAACTTCGTTACATACCTCTGATTTCGTTGACTGGCGGCAAGATGACTGTGAGGCTGATGATCAGTCATGCATGGACTCGAACATCGCCGATGGTTCTTCCGTTGCAGTGTAATACTAGGCTCTATTCTTTCGACGACTCCTCCCTGGCCAGTGTCCCCTTGTGCCAAAACTATCGCGATTATCCTTTGACAACGCTAATCCTGCCAGATACCAGTCATATGCTAATAGCCTCGAGCTGACCATGTGGTTGATCATGATCAACTTTAAAGCCGCTCTACTGTTCAAGCACCTCGTTTACGTTAACATCGTCGCCCTCGTTCCAATAGTGGTGTTGTGGAACTCGAGTGACCATGTCGTATCCACCCTCGCCATAGAGGTAATTTCGTGAACACAGGTGTTTTGTAAGAATTGCTCATCCTGACTGTTCCTGTTGGCCTGTTTTACATTGGAGTTTGTACATGGGGTGAATGGGAGGTCTTCATGGTTCTCTCTGGCCTCGTAGTGTCATTCGGCAGGGAAAATCAGTCACCGATTCGTTATGAGACGAAATAGCGCAGCTTAGCTATACATTGTGTGCATCTATTAAAATTTCATAGATTCCAGGGTGAAGTTATCGGTGTTTTCGTGCAGACGTCCGCAATGGCTGCTTGTTTCGCTTCTGTTTCGGCAATCATGGCTCGGATGAGAGAGTCTTGGGAAAGGCGTATATACTTAACCGATATTGAATACCGAAGCTGGCAGAAACGAGCTAATCGATTACTATCGGAGTTCATGCCCTCGTCTGTAGGCCTTGAATCCTGCGGGTCTCGGAATGTTCTTGTCATTCTTCTAGGCATTAGAAGCATACCTAGCGGATAGATACATGGCGTCGCTGTTCAAGAATATGACCCTCCTATTTGCTGATATATGTAACTACACAGCTTACGCGAAGAGCGCCCCTGCCGAGCGAGTTGTATCACTCCTCACTACTCTGTTCTCGCGGTTTGACAATCTATCGGACACTTGTGCAGTGTACAAGGTGAGCTCCTTTAATAGTTGCAACATCCGAGGCCAACATTACGTATTGCTCTTTCGCGACCCTCACAACCGACTCGCCTCGTACAGTGGGGCAATCACCTTGCTGAAGTGACAACAAACGGATACTCGAAAACTGAACATGACCGGTCTCCAGAGGGTCTCTTCCCGTCAGGTTCATACTATTGGAGATGCATACGTTGCGAGTACAGAGCCTAAGGAAGGCGTCGATAAGGTATGTTGAGTGGTTTCGTTATTATCGACGCCATCATCGACGCATTCTCATATCGTGGATCGCTCTCATGGTTGCTCACGGCCATGTGATATACGCACTATGCATGCTCTAAGCATCTATGTAGAATAGCCGCACTAGGGTTAGTGTGTAGCTGTGGATAGAGGTGACCTTTTCGGGGGATTCTTAGAAGATCCCGGCATCTTCCACAGTGGCCCCATAGGAGTAAACAGTCCCTCGATTCTGGGAGCATCGACTGTGCAAGTTCCTTGGTAGCCGTCTCTAGCTCTTGTTTGCTGATCTGATCTGATTGGCACCAGGGAATATTAGCAGATACAGTCTGCTAGGAGGATGGTAGCATTCGCCCAGGCGATGGTGGAGGCCCTTCATACAGTTCGACTGGAAATGTCCGCGCCAGACTTGGAAATGCGGATAGGCCTGCACTTCGGCAAGTTCATTGGCGGTGTTATTGGTGAGTTCAGTTCGGGGTTGTTGCCGGTGTGGGATAACAATGTCTCGGACCCACGGGCCGTGGGCGTCTGGTCCCGATTTGTCGTCATTACAGCTACAACGAAGATCAACTATGATATCTTCGGTGTTGACGTGACCATCGCAAATCAAGTCGAAACAGCTGGTATACCCGGAAAGATAGTCGCATCAGACTCCCTCCGACGGTAAGCCGGGTAGCGATTCTAATACAATACTTGCACGTAGTCTCAAAGCGTCTTGCTTCCATATAGTTTGAAAGCCTCGGGAGGATACTCGTAGAACATCGCGGTTGGTCTTGGTGACAATGAACCACAGCGTTTATGGG